CCCTGCACCTTTCCGTCACAGGTGAGGAACCCACGCCTGCTGCATGCCCTGCTAAGTCCCAGAGCCATACCAGAGGGACATCCCACTGGGCACACAGGGGCATTAGGTATTCTGGCAAAATGAAGCGGTGAAAAATACAGACAGCAATGAAGAGGCTGAGCGGGATGGGGCTGTCAGGGCGTAGGGCGGTAGACAGGGCAGCTCCACACCCCCCGCCCCCTCCGGCATGAAGAAAGAGGTCAGGGCAAACACAGGCGGAGGTGAGGCCAGATGGAGTTTGTGGAGATCAGGGGTTGCCTCAACCCCTTGCCCTTTTCCGTTTTCTCTGAAGCCCCTCCTGACCGCTCACCACAGAGAGACTTCCCTGTCAGGGAACATGGATATTTATTTTCCCAATGGGAGAAATGTCTGCTGACATCACCATGCATCTCCTAGTCACCTTCCCAGCTTAGGGAAGGAATCGCCCCCCAGAGATTCCAAGGAAGGGACCCCAGGACCCCCATTAGTCTTTACGTGGATGACAGGGTAGAAGGTAGACAGGGACGAACCCTCCAAAGAAAATGGTTTTACTGCTCGGGAGGCTGAGGCAGGAGAATCGCTTGAACCCAGGAGATGGAGGTTGCAGTGAGATGAGATTGCACCACTGCACTCCAGCCTTGGCGACAGAGTGAGACTCCATCTCAAAATAAATAAATAAATAAATAAAGAAAAAAGAAAATGGTCCTACTTTAATGGGGCAGTCAATGACTCTTGCTCACCCTTCCTCTGCCTTATTTCTCCCTAGGAGACCCTAAGAATACTCATCTGTCGTTCATGGAATCCACCCCTGAATCTGGTAAGCAAATAATTCTTATCCTAGTGTCTGAGTCCCTGGGGAGACAGAAGGCTCCTCTGTGAGTAAAGGCTGTGCCACCTCCCAGCTCTGTGACTTGGGGCTAGGCAGCCCCTCCCAGGTCCCCAGATTCCTCATCTGCATCTGAAACTGTGTACCATCATGCCTGGCTAATTTTTGTATTTTTAGTAGAGACAGGGTTTCGCCATGTTGGCCAGGCTGGTCTCAAACTCCTGACCTCAGGTGATCCATCCGCCTCAGCCTTCCAAAGTGCTGGGATTACAGGTGTGAGCCACCACACCCAGCCTTCACGTCTCTTTTGGAGGCTCTTTGATTTGGACACGAGTCTTCACTTCTCTTGGAATTTTTTGTACGTGATGGAAAATGAAGAAAGTAACTGTTCAGGTGTAGGGATCTTGGAAGAATTTCAGATAAAGTGTGTCATGCATTCAGTATGTGTCGGCACAAAATAGGCAAGCAGTGAATGAGAGGGTTTATCATTTGCTTCTTGACAGACACACACCTTCCTCAAGGACAGTCCGGCAACCTGAATATCCTCATTGGGCTCTCAGTAGCCGTCATCTGCATTGGCATTTGCCTCTCTGCTTTTATTGGTTACTGGTGTTCCGTAAAATACCGTAAGTCTCAGGGAAGAGGGGACAGCATCATGTGAGCTCGTGGGGATGTGACCGAGGCACAGAGGGGGCTGTTCACATCCTGCGGGTTGATCTGTGTTTCCATTGAGGTTCTTGACGGAGGAACCCCACCCCTTTCCTTGACTAACCCATCACCCCTCCCCCTCCCCTGCTCTACCTCATTTTTGAGAGGCCACTGACCTGCAGGAGAGGGTCCATGAGAGAGGCAGAAGGATGGGGGCCATCGATCAGAGGGGTCCTCGGGCAGTCAGGATTGCCCTGGATTGCTGATGGGTGGTTCCGATTTAGTGGGGGAGGCTGGACCACACTGCAACCTCAGGCACAGCCTCACCTTGCTTTGGTCTTGATATCGCCACCTCTGACATGAAGATCTGGAGGACATTCTTTTTCACCCCACAGACACCCCCATGGCAAACACAGAGCGCGTGGAAGGCCAACAGATGGATGAAGAGGTGAGTTCTTCCAGCCCAAACCATCACCACAGCTCCATCCTCTCAGACACCCAGTGGCCCTGCCTTGAGTTACTAAATATGTGCCTCTTTTCACCTCCATCCCCCCAGGACCCTGCGGCAGAAGCAGCACAGGCGATGGTGTATGCCCAGTTAAACCAGCACACCCTCTCTCAGAGAGGAGTCACTCCCACCCTCCCGTGTCCTGAGTACCTCTTGGAGGAACCCAGTATCTACATTGCCGTCCACCAAGCCTAGGTGGAGGCCACAGCTGCCCCCAGTCTTTGAGCGCAAGGGGCATTCATGCGCAAGGACCTGGATCTTTTCCTAGGAGGATTTTTTTCCATGGACATTTCTCCTCCTTCTGGTACTATCTTGACACCTCCAAGCTGGCAACAGCAGAGTCTGAATGCCTGTGGGATTATCTCAGCACTGCTTCTCAGACAACTAGCCATTCTATGATTCTATTTTGAGCACCCAGCCATTTAAGGTGATTTGACTCTACCCGCCCACTCATTCTGGACATCTCACTAATGTCACCTGACTTATTCTGAAACTCTGCAGACATGCTTCTAGAAAGCTGTTGCATATCCTCAGCCAGTTTAGTCTCTAAATTACTCAGTAAGTCTATTTTAAAAAATTTTTGGACATTTTTACTGCTTTTATTGCAATGTGATTTTTTGGATTATGTTATCAAATGCTTTTAAAAATTATACTGTAAGTTCTGGGGTACATGTGCATATCTTGCAGGATTGTTGCATAGGTACACACATGCCATGGTGGTTTGCTGCCTCCATCCCCCCACCACCTACATCAGGCGTTAGTCCTGGGATACACGTGCAGGATGTGCAGGTTTGTTACACGGGCAAACGTGTGCCATGGTGGTTTGCTGCATCTATCAACCCATCACCTAGGTATTAAGCCCAGCATGCATTGGTTCTTTTCTCTGATGCTCTCTGCACCCACTGCCCTCCTCTGACAGGCCCCAGTGAGTGTCTTTCATCTCCCTGTGTCCACGTGGTCTCACCGGTCAGCTCCCAACTTCTAAGTGAAAACATGCAGTGTCTGGTTTTTTGTTCCTGCACTGGTTTCCGTGTCTCTGCAAATGACATGATTTCATTCCTTTTCATGACTGCATAGTATTCAGTGGAGTGCATATAACACATTTTCTTTATCCAGTCTATCATCTATGGGCATTTGGGTTGATTCCATGTCTTTGCTATTACTTAATAAAATTTTGCAGAGACGAAGTGTATTCTATATCTGAGTCATCTAATATGGTAACCACTTGTCAAATATGGCTTTTTAATTTAGAACAGATCAAATTACATGAAGTTTAATGTTCAATTCCTCAGCCACAGGGCCACAATTTGAGTTCTGAGAGCCACGTGTGGCTGCTGGCTGTCAGAAGAGCATGAATACAGAATGTTTCTTTGTCAGACGAAGTTCTAGGTGTTGCAGATGAAAGGTTTAAACTTGAAGATGCAGAGTGTATTTTCTCATGGAGTGCAGCCTCCTGGAAGAGACCTAGTGTAACAAAATGATAATATTTAACATCTATCGTGAGATGTCTTTATCTAATGAAATGCGGGGAACAAGCAGAATTCTCTCCTGGAGTGTCTTTTCACCTCTTATCTTCGTGCAAATTTCTGCCATAGAGATTTTCTCCCAAACTCTAAGAAGGTCGCCTCCTGTTTGCCCCTTTTCCCGTCCCCTGGTTTCACATGGAGAGAAAGCACGCATCCTTTCTCGGCACAGAATATTGTCTGGAGGCCGGGCGCGGTGGCTCACGCCTGTAATCCCAGCACTTTGGGAGGCCGACGCGGGTGGATCACGAGGTCAAGAGATCGAGATCACCCTGGTCAACATGGTGAAACCCCGTCTCTACTAAAAATACAAAAAAATCAGCTGGGCACGGTGGCACGTGCCTGTAATCCCAGCTACTCAGGAGGCTGAGGCAGGAGAATTGCCTGAACCCAGGAGGCGGAGGTTGCGGTGAGCCGAGATCACGCCATTGCACTCCAGCCTGGGTAACAAGGGTGAAACTCCGTCTCAAAAAAAAAAAAAAAAAAAAAAAAAAGAATATTGTCTGGAAGCTGCTTTCTGATGACCTCTATATCTGAGCCTTTATTCTGTTCCTTTCTACCTGAATTGGCACCTGCCCAGAGCAATTCACAAACTGCTGCCTGCGACGAGCTGTAGTTAGCGAATTGGTGCATGTCTCCTTCACCTGGGAACCCTCTCCATTCTTGAGCGTCTCAGTGCAGACATCCACCTTCATACACAACGTCTTTATCTCAGAGGCTAAGCAAAGAGGCTGATCGGCGCACAGTGTCTGTGCCCAACAGGGTGAGTTTTTATTGTCCGATCCCCCTGGTCTTTTATGTGTGGACTGTGAGCTTTTGGAGGCAGGACTGAGTCTGATTAACCTCTGGGACTCAAGCCACCTTCCAAGGATCCTGCCCATAGGAGGTATCGGCAACTCTGGTCTGGTGAGTGATGAGGACACCCAACCCTTCCAGAGAGCAGAGCATGGAGCAAACATCAGAGATCCTCTAACATTACGCAGAAACAGTTTCTCTGTCTCCCTGTGTCAAAGAGGGGAACACACTTCCTCCACTGTCTGGGATATGTGGACTAAGGGACAAATTCTGGTTAGTGGGTGTGAGGGGAAGGGCAGGCCCCCCCCCAGCCTGGCTATTTGCTGCACGTATTGACCCATCCTGTAAGTTCCCCCCCCTCACTGCCCACCCCCACAACAGGCCCTGGTGTGTGACGTCCCTGTGTTTATGTGTTCTCATTGTTCAACTCCCGCTTATGAGTGAGAACATGCGGTGTTTGCTTTTCTGTTCCTGTGTTACTTTGCTGAGAATGATGGCTTCCAGCTTCAGTTTTAACATTTTTTAAGGTTTGGTCACCTGCAAGACCCATGAGTAGATATGGGGTCTCACCCTGTTGGCCAGGCTGGTCTCGAACTCCTGGCCTCAGGTGATACACCTGCCCGGCATCCCAGGCTGGTTCTCAACTGTGGGCAACTGGGGTTGTTGAACCAGGCGAACTGCAGATGCTTCCCACAGACCCTGCACACCTGACATCTTCAGACCTGCGTGTCCATGCAGGGATGATGTGGTTGGTGATTGTCCTCCAGTCGAGGGCACTGACAAGCTTGGGGCAGCAGCACCAATCAGCTTCTATCCTGTCACGTGAGAAGCCACACGTGGAGATCCGAGTGCACCCAGGCCTCACGTGTTTCCCAGGACAGCCTCGGCGCCCTTCCCGAGCAGCCCCTCGGACATTCAATCTGCAGGCGAGCCTCTCGTTCTGTCTCTGGGTGGTGGCCGTGGGATAGGGCACAGGCTGCATTTGAATCCCTTCACAGGACAGATGAGTCTCCTGTTCTGTTTCGGGTCACCACGCTGCTCTGTGATCCAGGGATTCTCTGTCGGCGTCTCTTCCGGTGGGTCTAGTCTGGAGCGTAAGGGATTCAGAGCACGACAGAGGTGACCACGGGCCTGGTGCACCCAAGCACTTCCCTGCCAGGGGGACACGCAGAGCATTTCCCACGCTGAGGAGCAGCCACTGAAGACCATTGGGTCGCAGGTGGAGGCCTGTTGCCTCCACCAACTCAGTCAAGACAAGTGAGGACAGTTGCCTTTATTTTATATTGAATGTTTTGTGGTTTACTAGCTTGCATTTTTTTTAAAAAAGAAAATGAGTTGATATTTTTAACTTTTAAAAATATCACGAGGATTTTTCCATTTTTTCTTCCCCCACTCTCTGACGTAGAATATTTGCACATCCAAACCATAATTTCCTGTGCAAGAATGACAAAGTTCCTAATCTGAGTCTGCTTAGATACCTGAGCTTGGTGTCGTGCCCACCACGCACTGTGAGATCATCCCAGGCTGCGTGATGTGCCTCTTCACAACCGTGAGCAATGAGAGCATCAGGGAAGTGTGCACACATCTAAAGTTTAGTAATTTTCAATTATCAGAGGCAGATTTGGGAGCATTTTGTAATGATAGAGTGTTCTCAAATACCTTGCCTACAACGAGTTATATTTTTAGAAATTACAGTGCCCATTACACACACACAGCTGTTCCTTCTCTGCACTCACAGGAAACCCACAGAGAGCCCTCCGCAAACACCTCTGTATCTGCATTAAAGTGTAAAACCACATAAAAGGTGATCTTGCTGTTTACTAATTGTGCATAGGGTTGAACTTGTATATGTGTTTTCTAGATACAGTCAGGTTCAATGGCATTATGCTAAATACATACCACTTTAATTAATAACCATCCTCTTGGGGGTTCTCTGGATCATTTGAACATGGAGACCCACTTCTTCATCTCTCCTAAGAATTACCTTTTAGCCGGGTGCGGTGGCTCACGCCTGTAATCCCAGCATTGTGGGAGGCCGAGGCGGGTGGATCACGAGGTCAAGAGATCGAGACCATCCTGGTCAACATGGTGAAACCCCGTCTCTACTAAAAATACAAAAAATCAGCTGGGCATGGTGCCGTGTGCCTGTAATCCCAGCTACTCAGGAGGCTGAGGCAGGAGAATTGCCTGAACCCAGGAGGCGGAGGTTGCGGTGAGCCGAGATCGCGCCATTGCACTCCAGCCTGGGTAACAAGAGTGAAACTCCGTCTCAAAAAAAAAAAAAAAAAAAAAAATGAATTACCTTTTAACAGGTTTTTAACATCATTAGCAAAAATATTTTTAACAAACAGCCTCAAAAGCGTCTTAGCATCTGAAGACCTAAAAGATATAATACATTCTTTCAGAGCTGTTGGAGAGATCCTCGCCAAACCTACTTTATGCCATGAAGGGTCTCAAAAATAGCTCATTTTCCCATGAGCCGTGAGAGACAATGGGATGGGAAGTCCCGAGGAGACCCTGAGGTGTGTGTGAGGAGCCACCTTCTCCAGTTTCAGTCCTCGTTCCCTCCAGGCGTGTCTAGGAAGCCCTCCCTCCCAACCCCCACGTGTCATGGGATGTGGAGAGACCCTGACTCTCCAGTGTGGCTCTGATATTGGCTACGACAGATTTGCTGTGTACTAGGAGGGGATGTGACTTCCTCCAGCACCCTGGCCTGCAGCCTCAGGCTGGGTTCTCCCAGGCTGACTTCCCCCTGAGCCCTGGGAGTGTCTCCCACAGGGGCCAGTACAGATGCTGGGTCCGAGTGGTCAGGCACAGTGACCTCGTTGACATCCTGACCGCAGGTTGGAGCCCAGCGGGTTCAGACAAGTTTCCAAGTTCTGTGCAGAGCTGTGTGTGCATTTGTGGGGGTATTTGTATGTGTTTGGGTGTGTATATGTATGCATGTTTGTATTTTAGTGTCTGTGTATATTTGTGTGTTTTTGTCTGCACGTGTTTGAATTTGTGTGTGTGTTTCTCTCTCTAGTTTTATTTGTACGCATGTAAGTGTGTGTGTGTGTGGGGAGAGGTGTGTGTGTGTGTGTAGGTGTGTGTGTGTGTTTGTTTATCTCTGTGTGGGTTTATTTGCATCCATGTGAGTGTGTGTGAGAGTATATGTATGTGTGTGAGTGAATGTAAATGTGTGTTGTGTGTGCATATGTGTGAGTGTGTGAGATTGTGTGAGTGTGTGAGATTGTATGTGTGTGAGTTTGAGTGTTTCTCTGTGTGGGTTTATTTGCACACGTGTGAGCATGTGTACGTGAGTATATAAGATTGTATGAGTGTGTATGTGCATGCTGTGTGTGCGTGTGTGTGTGTATGAGATTTGTGTATAAGTGTGTATGTT